CGGACTTAGCCTTGACCTACGCCTTTTTTGAGCAAAAGTGTGTGGAAGACGAAAAGCTTACCCATGATTTTCTCTGTTACAGGTATGGTGGTAGATCGTGCTTCGGAGAAGGGCGTCTTGGGTTCTGCTCTGGTCTCAACTTCATTTGCGTTGTTATCAACATTGTACTACTCGTCCTCAACTTCCTGAACATTGGAGCATGGGGCTTGGTTGGTAGAGAGTCTCCTCCAGCTATAACCTCGAAATCGCATTGGTTATTTTCCTAGGAGCGAATCTACTCCATCGTATGCACCGTGCTCTTCCTCATTGCTTCTGCCCTCATCATCTGGTTCATCATCGAATACAACACCTCACGCTCGACGCTTATTGCCGCTGCGGTAAGGAGCAAATTCACATTTATGGAGAAGGGTTTGACTTACATGCTACGTAATACATCTACACATTTCAGGTTCTAATCATCTGTCAGTTCTTCCTCTTCCTTTGGGATACGAAGATCCTCCAGGGAGAATCACCAAACTAAATTCATTCGTTTTTATTCCCTCTTTTTTTCACTAAGCGACGTCATTTTCCGATCCCTACATAGATAGTGTGTGCTATTGCTTAACCTCTATGAATGAATGCATTATTATAAAGAAACATCTCTTTCTTCTTTTCCAGATTCAAACTGTTGCGTTGTATGAAAACTGTGTATAGTTTTCCTGTAAACAATTTTCTTGTCTGTAACATTTCGATATTATTTCTGATGAAATAAAACTTAATAGCGAAACTGTCTTCGCAACTATGGCATTGAACAATCGCAAGTGCGTGTACTTATAAAGTAAAGATTTTTTTCGGTAGGTTTTTATGAGACTTCTTGAGGATTGATGGGTAATCAAGATGCGTTTGTTAGAAGTTGAGAGAGTTACGAGTAACCAATCTTCTAACTCAATTTTTATGGACAACTCAGCGTCTATCTGAGAATATGCCAATCAAAAGTGTCTCACTTCTATAATTAGCATGCTGGTGTTTGCTCTTAAACC